GGGGGGGGGGGGGGGCTCTCTGTTCCTCCACCCACTGGAGCTCCCCAGTCTCTCCCACCCCGAACCAGCCAAACACAAAACAACTCACTCTCAGACCCTCGGTGGGGGAACTTCTCCAGAAGCTCTCTAGTGGGAAAAAGGTTGCCACTGCTGTTTTGTTCTTCCTGCTTTTCACCTTGAGCTTGGCATTATTTTGGCAGGGCCCCTTCCTGAGGGAACTTCCTAACCGACAAAGTGAAATTAGGGCAGTTCTGAGGAGTGTGTGCCTATGTTTTCATTTACAAGCTGTTCTCTATACTTTTCGTACATTGAATTAAAGTCCTGAGAAGTAATTTTTAAACCATTGAAAGTTATCTTTTCCCTCCCGGCTGGTATTTCAGTGACTCCCAGGGTCACTGTCCCTGGACAACCACTGATGCTCATAGTAAATCTAGGTACAGAACCTGCCACATGCTGGGGACAGAAAGACTGTTTAACATTGGCCACTAATAGGAGGTTTCTTCCACGATAAACGAAATATATACTTTATATCCATTTCTGAAAGGCTGCCCTTAATTTTTTCATTTTTTTATTAAGAAAAGTTGACAAATTAATGGAGGTTAGATAGAATTGTGCCTGAGTACTTATTTCTAAGCATCCTGTAGTTTCAAGAAACAGATCCCCGCCTTCCCCCTCCCCCCAGAAATTGTACCTTAGTCTCTCATATTTATTTGCAGATGGACTGAATAAAACCTGCTGTTTTGGAAAAATTGTGGTAGAAAATGTATAAATTTAGTCAACTCAGAGCTCTATAAAAATAAGCCAAAGAATTCCTTCAAGCTATGAACACTTTCACTTCAAAAGAGCATGCAAATATTTTCTCTTGCAAAGCTGAGGAAACAAGATTTGTGGGTGCATCACAGTGGAAAAATACTTCTCACAGCATTCCCACCGTACTAGGGGACACGCATGCGTGGGTGATCTATAAGAGACGGTTCTCCAGAGAAAGCAATTTCCCTCTGACACGCTGGGTTTTTATTACTTTTCCTTTATAAACACAGCACTGACCCCTCCAGAGGAACAGCAACTCAGGCCCGCAAAATGCAACAAAACTGCTAGAGGTCCCTAAACAGAGTTAGACCCCAGCTTGCATATAGAGGGTCAAACCAAGGGGCCTGTTTGAACAGGATTGTTTCTGAGGAGAAAACTGGTTCCATCAAGTGGTTCCTTGGGATGAACTTTCAGTTTGCATTTTCCTCCATGGTTTACACGTGGAGGGAGGGTTTTATGATTTCAGTTTTTACAACGCGTCTGCTCTTCCTAAATACTTATTTCCATTTTGGAGGCTTATGGATCAGATGATTGACAACCATTATTGTCATGATCATCACAGAAAAATAATGTAGAAAAACTTAAAAACTATGTTAAAATAGCCCGATATGTGGAAATGACAACATCGTTCCTCATTACCACATTCTCTATCACTTTTACCATCAGATTGAATTGGTTAAATCCAGTCTTTGACACTAAAGGCAATAAAAAGCAACAGTCACTGGTTTTTAGCATGGTCTCTACCTACAGCAAACTTCAGTTTGGAACATGATTTTAAGAAGTACAATTTAGTTTAATTTTTTAAATTTTTTAAAATATACTTTTTAAAGTTTATTTTGGGGGGGGGGAGGGGCAGAGAGAGGAAGAGACAGGGGATCCTAAGCAGGCTCTGTGCGGTCAACGCAGAGCCTCTCACGGGGCTCGAACTCAGGAAACGTGAGATCATGACCTGACCGAAACCAGGAGTCCCACGCTTAACCGACTGAGCCACCCAGGTGCCCCCATGATTTAATATTTTACATACCATTCTGCATTTTCTGATTCTAACTCAGGTTTTAGGCTTTATCTCTTCATCCATTTTTTTTTTTTTTAATTTGGGAGTCTCATAATATTAGTAGTTTTTTTTATATTAAAATGCAATCGTTCAAACATGCTTGCTTAACACAGACCAGAGGTGTGTGAGAAACATTGTCATCTGAAATGATCAAGAGTTAGAGCTAGGGGTAAAACAAATAGGCATCAAAGAGTGGAATGTGGTTTTTTTTGTTTTTGTTTTTTCCAGGAACTTAACGACTTGGGAGGAATGGTTGAAATGGGTAGGGAGGCTCTATTTTTGCCCCTCTTGCTTGTTAGTTTTGCGGAAGGGATTGCGTGGGATTTCGTGAAGCTAACACTTCTCCTCTGCTGGCAGGTGGACACCACTCTGTCTCAGTTTACTGACCCGAACGTTTACCTGTGGGACGTCCACCACAGTAAGAGGCTAATTAAGGTGGACGGGGTTGTGACCAAGAAGCGGAAGTCCTACTGCGTGGACTTCGCTGCCATCCGGCCTCAGATAGCCTTACTCCAGGAGATGCACGTTTCCCATTTTCACTTCTCCCTGGACTGGGCCCTGATCCTGCCGCTGGGCAACCAGTCCCAGGTGAACCACACGGTCCTCGACTACTACCGCTGCGTGGTCAGCGAGCTCGTGCGCGCCAACATCACCCCGGTGGTGGCGCTCTGGCGACCCGCGGCCCCGCACCAAGGGCTGCCGCGGCCCCTGGCCAAGCACGGAGCCTGGGAGAACCCCCACACCGCCTCGGCTTTTGCAGAGTATGCCCGGCTGTGCTTCAAGGATCTCGGCCACCACGTCAAGTTCTGGATCACGATGGGTGAGCCGTACACACGGAACATGACCTACAGCGCGGGGCACAATCTTCTGAAGGCTCACGCGTTGGCCTGGCGCGTGTACGATGAAAACTTTCGGGGCTCTCAGAAGGGGAAAATATCCATAGCCCTGCAGGCCGACTGGATAGAGCCGGCCTGCCCTTTCTCCCAAAAGGACAAAGAAGTGGCAGAGAGAGTTTTGGAATTTGACATTGGCTGGCTGGCCGAGCCCATTTTCGGCTCTGGGGATTATCCGCGTGTGATGAGGGACTGGCTCACGCAGAGAAACAATTTCCTTCTACCTTATTTCACTGAAGATGAAAAAAAGCTAATCCGGGGTTCTTTCGACTTTCTGGCCGTAAGCCATTACACCACCATCCTCGTCGACTGGGAAAAAGAAGATCCAATGAAATACAACGATTACCTGGAGGTGCAGGAAATGACCGACATCACGTGGCTCAACTCCCCCAGTCAGGTGGCAGTAGTGCCCTGGGGCTTACGCAAAATTCTCAACTGGCTGAAGTTGAAGTACGGAGACCTCCCCATGTATATAATATCCAACGGCATAGACGATGATCCGCAGGCAGCGCAAGACAAGCTGAGGGTGTATTACATGCAAAATTATGTAAATGAAGCTCTGAAAGGTAAGGAGCCCCGGAAACAGCAGCCCCTGGAAGCGTATGTCACGCGAGGGCGTGGTACTCCCTCCATAGGCACCCTCAAACGAATACACCCACTGTTGCCTGGGAAGCAAAGTGCTGCTATCCATTCCTTGCCACACTGAAAAAGTCCAAGAGAGAGTTAGTATTTTCCCCTCAGGATAATGGAGTTTAGCTAAAAGTCGAAGACCCTAGCCGGGGTGGGGGTGGGGGGGGGATGCCTAGCACCTGCTGGGGCCTATAAAAGCATGGACTTTCTTGTCCCCCATTTCAGACGGCTTCACAGCAGTCTTACCTCCTTCATTGTGCATGAAGATTTAACCCAAGTACATCAGAGTAGGTTTAATTATGTAAAACCTTCTACGTTAACTGTAGCTCAATGTTTGTCCTCGCATGAAGGAAGCCTGTTGTGATCAAACCTAATTTAGTTTTATTAAATAGTATTGAAATTTTCTCTGATGCACCAAGGCTGTGTAAAAGTGAAGTGCTGCGTGCAAAAAATTTTAATAACTATTCTGTCCTTTTGTTTTTCTAGCCTACATATTGGATGGTGTCAATCTTTGTGGATACTTCGCTTATTCATTCAATGATCGCACAGCTCCAAAGTTTGGCTTCTATCATTATGCTGCAAATCAGTTTGAGCCCAAACCGTCCATGAAACATTATCGGAAAATGATTGACAGCAATGGTTTCTCGGGTCCTGAAACTCTGGGGAGATTTTGTCCAGAAGAATTCACCCTGTGCACCGAATGCGGCTTTTTTCATACCCGCAAATCTTTACTGGCTTTCATAGCTTTCCTACTTTTTGCTTTTATTATTTCTCTTTCTCTGATTTTTTACTACTCTAAGAAAGGCAAAAGAAGTTACAAGTAGTCCTGACCTTTTTCCTATTCATTTACTTTGAAATGATTATGCACACACATCAGCTGTTCACCATTTGCGCTTCTCAGTGTCGTAAGACTGGATTTCACTTATCTGACTTCTAGAAAAAAAATGTGTGGCGTATGACAGAGGTATGGAAGTGAGCATAGGTGATTGTAAAATACTGAATAATGTGAATAGTGCCTGGATTTGTTCTTTCTTGGAGGATGATCAAAGACGGTTAGGGGCCATCATCTCTGAAACACATTCTGTAACAAATGTATGGGAAGTGGGACCCATTCTGGAACATTTTTGTAGAAATTGAATAGCAAGATCAGTGCCCGTTCCTAAATTATCTTGAAGTAAAACAAATGTGGAAATAAAAAGTTAAGTCCCAAATAACCATCTCTAAACTTCCATGATATGCCTAATGGTCTCTGTTGGACCCAGTTTCCCTTGAAAAAGAAATGGTAGAATATTAGAGACATGACAGAGGGCCCTACGCTAGAACGTTCCTTTTAAAAGCAGTGTTTCTATCAAATGCTGCTAATATTAATTTACATATCTGGTTAATGATGTACTTAGCAGAGCAAATTGTAGAATTTTATTTTATGTGACTTTCAAGGCACTTTTCAGGCCCTGGGGTCCTTGAGGGCTTTGTGTCACTGGGGCCTTGTCAAGGGTCTGTACATAGAGGGCTTTAAATGTTTGCAGAAAACTAAATATGAATCATGAGATGTTAGACTCTTCAGGAAGCATAAACCGATCGTGCAATGCATTATACTGCGTGGCGAGGAGGAAAGGAGGAAAAAGTGCATATTATGAGCAACAGTATGATTAATTTGATTAGAAACCCTTTGATTTTAGAGCACTCCTTTCAATGAATGATGTGACCTTTCCTGAGTGAATAAGAACGAAATAATCACTCATCCTATGAAGAGTGACTTCACTTGCTGTTCTTTAGAAAGTGCCCTGATTTCTTTGAATCGAGTTTTTAAAAATTCTTACTAGGTTCGCATTTGGTCTGATAACACTGGAAGATTTATTTCTGTGATCGCTGAGGTTTATTTTCTATTTTTGCTGCACCTTCTGTGGAACTAGCTTTGAAGTAGTTTTGCTTTGAACTTTCACACTGAAACATGCTACTGATTTCTAGAAAGGGCTAATGAGGTCTTATCTTTTAATGCCCCTTAAACAAGTTTTGCTGATTTTCAGACAGGGGTCTTTCTATGACACTGGAGTTGTGGACGATCATAATGTTTGTTTTATAGATAAGCCAGTATCGTATCAGGCAAGGTAAACCACTATCGTATCAGGCATAACTAATCTTGCCGACACAGGGTTATAGTGTATAATAAAATGTTGTACTGTATTATGTATCATCTTTAAAGGTGGTGTGATTTTTTTCCATGAAAGATAAGCTTTTGTTGGTATTCTTTTAAAAATTGGACTTATTATTAAAATTAAAAACTAGAGAACAATAGTTTCTCTTATGTATATATATTTTTCTGATTATAAGAGTAATATATATTCATTGTAAAAAAATTTTAAAAACACAGAAACTATACGTAAAGAGAAAAAATTACCTGTCATCACACCCAGGTAGTCACTATTACCGTAGCCTGTGTATTTTATTTTACATAATTAGAGTCAGATCATATTGTAAATAGTTGTGTATCTTTATTAATTTTTATTGTGTGTTAACTTTGTCATTAGTCTTCAAAAACATGATTTCTAATAGTTGAATTCCACTATACAAATTTATCACAAGTTATTTAACCATTCCTATCAGTTGAACTAGTTTCTTATTGTAAATTACTGTGAAATAATGTTGTTTAAAAGTTTTCTTGCTACCATATTAATTTTCATTCCCTTGAGTGTAGACAGAAGCAATTCTGTCCCTTGATGAAGTATTGTAATAAATCTGCCTGCAACTTTACTGCTTTCATAATCATTTGACTGGCTGCTGGATGAATTTCTTTAAAAAACAGTTTTTTGAGTTGACTGAACTACATAGGCTATGAGCAGTGAAGAAACGGGTGGACAGCCAGGGTGGAAGGTGGAAGGGGGTGGAGGCTGCCTTGTGCTCATCCCTGTGGTTGAGCGGAGACTTTCAGACACTGAGAAAGCAAAATAGAGGAAGAGCCGAAAGAGACCAAACAGACATGCCAAAGCCTCAAGGAGAAATGACATCTCAAAACCATCCATAGTGAGAGCAGCGTATTAACACTGAGTCCTCACTGACCTTAGGAGGAGGTCAGTGGCTCCCTACAGCGGGAAAGGAGCGAGGGTCCGAACAGACCGCGGGAGGGGGGAAGGGTAGGGAGGAGGGAGGAGGGAGGAGGGGGAGGGGGGAGGGGGCGGGGCCAGGGGCGG